GATGGCGCAATTTGTTCTAAATATAGAAAAATTGTCCCATATCATAGGTGCGCGCGGATCCCAAGACTTACGGTCTCCATCCCCGATTATGGCTCCTGTCGTAAGGTATATCGGCCCTAAGGTACATTGATCGACCAGATAATTTCAATGTCCTCCTGCTCAGTTTGTCAAAGCCATATTTAACAATTATTCACCGAAGTGGAGGTAAGTAGTGATAGATATTTACCGAGCCGCGAAATTGTATAAACCACAAAAGCTGAATAAAAAGATAACACGCGGACCAAAACCTTAATTTACTTCTGAAAATAAACCGACGAATGATCGGGAATTTCCAAATCTCTGCTCGGAGGTGAATAGTCCTTTGTTAACCAACCAGAACGCGTGAAAAGGACCATTGACTTGTGTGGTATATACTAAGCTGCTGCTGTATGCTACTCACCTCTACTCTCAGTTCCTGAGTTCTCCTTTTTGCCAGCACCATTCGTATTCCTGACTGTATCTTGATGATGCTTCTCAGGCGGTTTTTATACTCCTGTCGTGCAAGGAATCCGCGGCAAAATGCCTGGAAAACTTTCATTCGCTCGCGTAATGTCAGGTATTTTAAAGCTAAAACATGAGCTCTGTAAGTGGCCTGAAGTCGTGCCAGACCACTGCGGATCTGCAAGGAATTTTGCGCATTTAGTTTGTTACCTGATAGAAGTAAACATGACGCAATGCAGTTGGTATGAACAGTGATGACAGATAAGTGATAACAAAGAAACAGATGTTTAACGTCCATCGAAAAAAGTTGCACTTATTAGATTAAGGGCTGAAGCCAGCAAGCGTGAAGTTTATTTTTTGATTGCAAAATGTCCCGGAGATTGAATGCGAGTAAGTCCAGAGGACATCTGATTCTCTTACCATATATTCCATACCCTTCCTGAAATATTGGGGCGCGAAAACATGAGCGCTCCTTTGCAGGGAGTGTTGTAACTGACCTTGATATACTTCTGCTTCTCTTGATATCCTCTCCATGTCTTCTGAATGAGAATTGAACCGCTTTTCATCTTCGTGTATCGCTGACGGATTAAAAAGCCGCGCACAACTTTCTGAATCAAAATGGCACGTTTGGTTAGGAGTTTATCTCGCTCATCTTCCAGCTGAATGTCCTGTTGATCCTGTCCATAACAACACACCCTCGTTACACCTCGAAATCAGTGAAGTGGAGGAACAACTGACATTGTGCTTTGCACATTCTGCAGGTTTTCTGTTCTACTCTTAAGGTCGTAATTTCTTTACTTCTAGTTTTTCTCCGCGCCACTTTTCCCACCATCTTAAAACAGAACCAAGTTGTATCTATTTGAGCCTCACCTTAAGAAACACCTTCGTTTTGCCAATCTGCCAGTCACTGTTTCCTAGAAGCCGCTTGGCGATTGTGATGGCAGCATTCTTAAGTCCCTGGAAATCTAATCCATCTCGTGCCAGACCTTCACTCAACATGTGATAACGATCAATGAATTCCTGAAACGTGTGACGTATAGGGTAGCCGGCTTTCCGTATCCTGTGAGTAAAGAAAATCATCCTATCACACTGTACACGCCACACATAACAACAACTCGACAGACATGAATAAACTACGAAGACGAGCTCAATCAGCGACTACAAAGAGACCACTGGTGATTATATGTTGCAAACCAGCAAAATACACGGGCTAGAGAGTAACAAATACAACTGCAAAACGTTGTAAAACGTACTTGTGCGCAGACGTCTCTATTCACTTGCTCGCTTTTTTGCCGTCATCAAGAACGAAGGGAGCGTCCCAGATTCACACTGATAACGTGGCACTACAGGGGTCTGTGCATTATCTATGATTGGTTTATAATTGTGCGGGAAAAAAACAAAACCAAGACATCTCAAACCTGACACCACACGATCTCTTTAATGCTGCATTTTTGCGTCAGGCACCGCTCTTTATCGCGTTGTATGGCTAGCATTGAACGAAAGAGTTGAAGTACAAGTAACGTACCTTATTGTCTCCATCATACCGGAATAACGCAACTGACGACAGCATAGAAGTCTATCAAATCTCTGAAAACAAACGACACGTAATAAACAACTTGTACTGTATGGCTGGATTGACGTTAAATGAACTTTAGCAAAATCATCAAGAATGACGATAAAAGTAAGTGACGTTATGTAAAGATTTGAATCTCCAATTCGGGAAGAAATGGTGAAATATACTGCTCATGGCAAGAGTTTGTTATATGATATAGATTCAGTCTTGATCAGTAACGCCTGTACGCCGTTTTTTTGTTCTCCCTTAACCTGAACATCAGGCCTCCCTTTCACTTCACTTAGCCTGGTACTCCGCATAACTTTTCAATGTTTTTAATTGATCTTGGCACGAGAGAGATCTCAGTACCAATAAAATAAACAAATCACACCAAGGAAATGCACGATTTTAGTTCAACCTTTGAGGTTTATCAGAATATTCACTCGTTCGCTGCACCGTCGCTTGTTGAGTGTTCGTTTTCTAATACAACGCAATAGTACGCGCACATTTTCCTTAGAGTTTTCTCTGTTTTCTAACTGATGTAGAAAAACCAAAAAACACAGGGAACAGTATCAATTCAGGCTACATGTTTTCAAGCTTCGCAACCTATGCTGTCCTAGCTCTGCTAACAAACCTAGTCACGTGACACGTAAATGACTTACCATTGGTTTCTTGTAGTCGTTGGGTTTGATGCAACGAACGAAGAAAGGATGGCAAGCTGATAAGGTTCTCATGAGTAAATCAAGAGACTTCTTAAACTGAGCTCCAAGAGTTGGTGAACGTTTTCTTGTATCTTCACCCTAAACAAAACATATTTACAGTATAACCTCATTGTCAAGTCATCTGCCTTTACAATTATACGAAAAGATCTTATTTAAGGAGTACAAACCATGGCTCTCTCTCTGGAAAACAGTTCAAGTAAGAATGCAGACTTGCTTCCTCCAACCAAGTCAACAAGATCAGCACTGAACGTGTCACGATTCTTGTCAAGAAAACCTGCCAGTCAATAATAAGAAAATACAGCCACACGCACCTGGTCTCGAAGTATAATTAACAATTATTCCAAGAGCCCGCGCTGAATACGAGATGATAAATTACAAGCGAGAGCGCCGTATCCAACAAGTGTGAGTGGAATAATTGTTATATCAAATTCTTCAATTGACCAGATGATGAAGACATTTGATGTAGACACGCTCTCCGAATATATTGAGCGTACGCGTGATTTTTGAGGGCGTTTTTATTTTTATTTCAGTCTAGTTTTGTATATTTCGGGGGCGCTTTTAATAATACAGCTGTTCCACTCTCGCTTGTTGGATATGAGATCATTATAGCCAACTCATATCCAACGCGCGCTCGTGGAATAATAGTTAATTATTTTCTGTATCTCCGCGTTAAAAAGCTCAACAGATCTGCTACTTCTTTCCGACGGATGTTTCGCTTCCCGCCGAAAAGTTTAAGATTTAGCGACATTTTCCCAGCTTATTTTGATATAAGGTCAAACACAGGTGTAAATAAACTCTGAAATAAACAAAAATTGAGGAATATCACTCATATATTGCCCAGTTTTAGCTGGGGTATATTTAGTCACGTGAAGCACGTGAAGCGCTTAGACCAACCGCAGGAAAGCAAAAAATAGTATTTGATGGATTATAAAGGCTGATAACCGAGATTTAGAGAACCAATCAGAAGCTACAAATGCATCATCCAAGGTTAAGAATTTAAAATCCAAAATAATGATCCAAGTTACAGTCCCCATCAAGAAGGGAGGG